GGTCACACCTGTTTATAGTACATTTTACTACCATGAATGAAAGCACTCAAAGTACATGCACCAAACCCTTAAAACAAAATCGGTGTGGGGTGGGCGGGGGGGAACCATTATAAATTAAATGCATAATGATTAAAAACTGTACAACCTCAGCTTATTCACAGTGGTTAATGAATCACATTCCAACTATGTCCACTCTTGCAGAGCTTCCAAACATGAATGCCAGAAGACATAATTCTTTTTCAAAACATTAACTCCACATTTAAAAGTCTGACAGTGTTGAGTCTTAAAATCTCTTGGCAATGGGTTTTAGCAATTAACTGAAAAAAATCTGAGCTGGATAAACCAAAACTATTTAGCTGTTTCAGCCACACATGTAACTGTTAGAGCCCAGTATACTGGAATTGCAGGCAGTATTCCTGATCGTGTATTTCTATCCCCATTCCCCCACAGGGGGACTGCAGTGCACACTCTCCTCCAGGTGCTGTGGGTCCCTGGGATGCCCCCTCCACAGTCTTGGGGCCACAGAGGCTGCAGAGGGGCCTCACCTCCTCCAGGGAGCGGGACAAGAGCCCCACAGGAAAGCCCACTCCCTCAGCTCGCCCAGGCCAACAAAGCACTCCAGCCTCCTTTTCCTTCTTGGCAGATGCCAGGAAGTTCACACTGACCAGGGGACTGTTTTCACTAAATTAAATATAGGTCTAAAGTCAGTGATCTTAGTCAAAGAAAATCTACTTGTTTTTATTAAGAAACAAATCTTTATGAAAGAAAACAAGAGTCAAGGGAAGACAAAAACAATACACCAAGTTGAACCTTCTAAAATCCTCCTCCTAACAATTTGCTGCAGTCATGTTCTCACTCTGTTTAGAGGCTTTTTTCTATTATTATAACATTACTATGTATTCATATTTCACCTAACACTACATCATGGCTCAGCAGTAAAGGATCTACCTGCCAATGCAGGAGACTTGGATTCAATCTCTGGGTCAGGAAGATGCCCTGGAGAAGAAACTGGCAACCCACTCCAGTATTTTTTTCCTGGGAAATCCCAGGGATAAAGGAGCCTGCTGGGCTCACAGAAGAGTTGGATACAACTTAGCAACTCAACAACAACAACATCATCATAAGCAGCTTTCCATTTAACTGTCTTTTTAACAGATAGCTGTTCAATATTGCAAATAAGTATTATATGCTTTACTTAACTGGTTCCTTGCCACTGAACTTGCCCATTTACTTTTTAAATCATTTATTCACAGAGTATCTACTATATTCAAATCACTGGATGAAATATTATAAATACAAATATATGGATAAGCAGCTTCTCCAAGAATGCTCTTCAGAATTATTATACAAAGACACAAATATACAGATGCAACATACATGCATATGCATGTGTATACCCGCTCTATGTGCTCTGAGCCATTTAATTCTTCTAAAATATGCTAATAGGATTGAAATGTTCTAATTCCCTTTCCATGTAGTCCTTTCATTGCTAATTTCTATTATTCCTGTCTACTAGATTTGCCTTAATGTGACTGATCAAGAAATCTTTAGTCTCAAAATAAACTAATTCTAAGCATCAATAAGTATTTTATCTTAAGAACATCTCCAAACCAATTTTTTTTTTTTAACCCAAAATTTTAACTACACTTGTGTTTTAGGCAAAATTGCTGTCTGATGTAGTACTGGGCAGAGACACCTGGGCAGGCAGTTGAGCATGAGGCTTTCTTTGGGTGTTGGGACTTGGGGAGAAAGAGACATCTGGAAACAGATGTCTTGAAACCACAGAGACATAGACATAAATTTTCCTTTCAGCCCGTAACTAGCTATGTGATCTTCAGCATATTAGTTGGAAAAAAAAAATCTTGGGAACTCCCTGACAGTCCAGTGGTTAGTTAGGACACAATGATTTCACTGCCAGGACCCAGGTTCAGTCTCTGGTTGGGGAACTGAGATCCCACAAGCTACACAGTACAGTAAAAAAAAAAAAAAAAAAAGAATGAAACAACAAAACTCATCATGCCTCAGTTTCTCTATTTGCAAAAAAAGTTAATAGTAACAACCTTGCAGGGGGGAATATGAGGATTACAGAAATTCTACCTAAGGCCAAACCTATGCCTGGCATACAATGAATATGCTTACTCCTATAATGAGCATATATTTTGTTTTTAAAAAACAAGCATAACTATGTAGGAAAAAAATCTGAAGAGAAAAACAAATTTACTAGGCTTTATTGAAATGAATGGCAATTCATTACTCACTTCCAAGTGAAGTGTCTAACTCTTGAAAATTCAAGAAGCTAGAAACGTGGAGTAGAGTGCTCTGATGCCAACCATGATCACCTTGTAACCCAGCTCCTAAAATGCAGTTAAATGCTAGTCACTCAGTCATGTCCGACTCTTTGAGACCCAAGGACTATGGCCTGCCAGGCTCCCCTGTCCGTGGGATTCTCAGGCAAGAATACTGGGAGTGGATTGCCATTCCCTTCTCCAGGGGATCTTCCCGTCCCAGGGATCAAGCCTGGGTCTCCTGCATTGCAGGCAGATTCTTTACCATCTGAGCCACCAGGGGAGTTCTCAAAATAGAGTTGAATCCCAGGCTTTTCCTCTTTTCTGTTTGTGAACATACATCAAAAACGCATGGGAAAGCCACACCCATTCTCCAATCATGCTTCAGAACAATCTGCCCCCCTTTCTAGTTCTCACCTCAGCCCCTAAGCTGAGACCTAAAGCAACAGAGACGATCAGCTGCTCTGTCAGTTGGTAGAATTAACTGTTCATCTTCAGGGAAAGTAGATGCTTCTCCAGAGAGACGAGCCAAGAGAAAGCCGTCCTGGCCCTGGAGCACCTTCCCTCGCATTCTACACGGGAGCTCTAACATTCAGTGCCCCCTTCTGAATCTGGAGGGAATGTCCTGGCTAGTGAGGGATTCCCTAAAGAGTGCCTTCGTCAATTAATACACCTGCCATTACCAGAGCTACCTGAACAGTAAGTGCTCCCAGCACCCCTGGAATTTGCATTTTTCCCCTTTGAGTCAAACTGGAATTAAAAACTTGCAACTTGTTAATTGCAATTTAATTTTATGAAAGTCTTTTCACACTGTTCATGGGGTTCTCAAGGCAAGAATACTGAAGTGGGTTGCCATTCCCTTCTCCACGAACTGTGGTGCTGGAGAAGACTCTTGAGAGTCCCTTGGACAGCGAGGAGATCAAACCAGTCAATCCTAAAGGAAATCAACCTTGAATATTCACTGGAAGGACTGATGCTGAAGCTGAAGGTCCAATACTTTGGCCACCTGATATGAAAAGCCGACTCATAGGAACTCTTTCCCTGATGCTGGGAAAGATTGAAGGCAGGAGAAGGAGGTGACAGAGGATGAGATGATTGGCTGGCATCACCGACTCAATGGACATGAGTTTGAGCAAACTCAGAGAGATTGTGAAGGCCAGGGCAGCCTGGCCTGCTGCAGTTCATGGGATAGCAAAGAGTCCGACATGACTTAGTGACTGAACAACAACAAATTTTATGAAATCAACCATCTTTACTGTCAGAGTAACTGAGCCATCATTACAACAGATAATATTCCCAGGCATTAAAAAACAAAACAAAACAAAACTTAGGTTTTTTCCCTCCATGCTACTGCTGCTGCTAAGTCACTTCAGTCGTGTCCGACTCTGTGTGACCCCATAGACGGCAGCCCACCAGGCTCCCCCGTCCCTGGGATTCTCCAGGCAAGAACACTGGAGTGGGTTGCCATCTCCTTCTCCAATGCATGAAAGTGAAAAGTGAACGTGAAGTCACTCAGTCGTGTCCGACTCCTAGCAACCCCATGGACTGCAGCCTACCAGGCTCCTCCGTCCATGGGATTCTCCAGGCAAGAGTACTGGAGTGGGGTGCCATTGCCTTCTCCATTTCCTCCATGAGGGCTAGGTAACTTTAGACCCCTGAACAGTCTCCGGGCTGGTCTGGGCTTTCAGGCTGGGAGGAGGCACCACACTGGGAGGAGTGCAGACTCTCTGGGTACAAAGGTAAAGACAGCCCAGATAGCTGTGTGCTTGAGAGAAATTACCTACGAAACTAGCAGGTGGACAGGGTTTTGCTTAAAACCTGTATCATTTTCAGAGCTGTATGCACAGTGAATTTCAGAAAAACTCTAACCTCGGAAGAACCTATATATAAGACTCTGTTCTTGTTTTCTAGTCATTTAAATCCAAGTTGTTTCCTTGGGCTAAGGACTGTAGGGTCACGGTTAATGTGAGTTCAGATACCAGTGTGCTAACAGCATATTGAAACCACAAAGAGCTTAATTTCAAAAGGTTACTCTGAAAACTGTCCTTTGCACTTGCCATTCCCCTACCCAGAAACCTGCCCATAGACATAGGTGTGTTGTGCCTTCATTCAGTTCACTTGGGTCTCTGCTCAAATGCCCTCTTGTTGGAGAAGGCTTCTTGACCATCCCATCTGAACACAAACACACTCAGAACCAGACTCGACATCACCTTAGGATGACTTACTTTTCTTATTCCTTATTTTTCTTCCTCACTACCTCTCACATTATAGATGCATTTGTTTGTTGTTTTCCACTTGTCCCTCCACCAATACAAGTGCCACGAAAAGAGGAACTCTGTCTTTTCACTGCTATATCCCACTTAGTCCTTCACAGAGTACCTGAACACGTGACCACTGTTCAATGCATATTCGTCACATGAATGAATGAACTGTAGATATTTTAGCCAAATGCTACATACACATCTCCAGTTCTCTTCCCAGCAAGACGTAAACTCAAACTAAGCTCCTGAGATCCACACAAACTGCTAATACTTCCTCAGTTGTCTTTGTTGCGGCTTATGAAGCAAGTGTATCCACGTGAACAACCCTGAGTTTACAAAGTGCAAGTCTCTCTTCGGATCTCCCCAGGCTGTGACGCTCATGAACACACCCCTTGCCTCCTCTCCACATCTCAAAATATCCCCCACTCGCAGAAAGTGAGAGCTCTTTTCTTACCATATTGATCAGAAGAGCTAGTGAAGAGAAGGTAGTCAGAGGCACAGGTCTGGGATTCAATATCCAAATCTCCCAACCTCAGAATCAATCTCTTCCCCTTCGGTACTGTGAGCGTCCTTTCACAGGCAGTGTGATTGGGGTATGTCCCTGGATAATTCTTGGATGTCATGGTGCCGCTGTCCTTATAGGTCACTATGTGCCCACAGCCATCACCTGGTCAAGAAAAAAGGGACACAAGAAGTAAGAGAAATGAATTCTTACTGAGAGCTGAGAAAGTTCACTGTAATCTTCACCTTATACATTTTATTCCTTCTATGGAGACAGAAAAGCTAAAAATAAAAATTGTTTTAATTATTACACAGTATCTATTATTCCAGGTTATTTCATCTCTTGTTTCTCAGCTTAATCTTCTGAACATTCTTGATCAAAATGTTTCATGTATTAGTATGGTAAGCCCTTTGCAAACACATCATTTAATCAAATTACTTTTTCTAATCATCTATTCATCTACCCATCCACACTTGCACAGTGGGCCCTTGGCATTCACAGATTTGCCATTAGCGGTTTTGTCTATTAGCAAGCGAATGGTATGAAACAATTTGCAACTGAGGAAGAAAAAAAAATACCACTCATTTTGGGGGTAACTGTCCTGATTAAATGGGATCAGGTATGCAAAATGCTTCTGGAGAATCTAAGACTCATGCTGAGTGGACTATGTTTAAGAGCCTGCCATTCAACTGGGGATTAACAATCAACCCACATTCATATCTCAGTTAATTACAGCCACAGATTTGGAGACTTGGAGGTTTCCCAGGTGACTCAGCGGTAAAGAATCCGCCTGCCAATGCAGGAGATAGATGCAGGTTCAACCTCTGGGTTGGGAAGATTCCCTGGAGGAGGAAATGGCAACCCAGTTCAGTATTCTTGCCTGGAGAATCCCTATGGATAGAGGAGCCTGGCGGGCTATAGTCCAAAGGATCGCAAAGAGCTGGACACAACTGAGAACACACAACAGACTCAGGACGTATCATGAGTTTCGTGCTTGCCACCTGCCGGACATGGCATTGTTGGAGACACATACAAGTAGCAATGGCTGGTCACCACTCCAAGTGAAACAGGAGACAGCCACAAGCTCAGATAACTATAATTCTAGGCGCTCCTGCCATTGCAGGAGCGTAAACAAAGTGCCAAAGAGGGCAAGAGAGAATCTATTTCAGTGAAGTCTCACTACTGCACTAAAATAAGGAATTCTCTTAAGGCTTGCTGAATAGGGAAGTTTAATCAATTGACCGACAAGTTGCTCCAGTAAATTAAAGCAACCAAGTTATCTGACAGCATGTAAAACTGGGTGGGCTGCAAGACTAAGGAGCATACGTTGAATTCAAAGCACAAAATGCCTATAATTAGTACATTTTCAGAGATACAAAGCCAGAATTTTTGCCCTTAGCCAGAGGGAGAGAAAGCAGAAGTCTGTTGGAGAAGAAACTCTCTGTGGTGGTAACAGAAGGCAGACCAAAGCCTCCTATAGCAGAAGCCCTAGCTAGGTCATCATGGGAATCTGAAGCCCTAGGCAGCCTTCTTCCTTCTCCAGTCTAGCCCCTGCTACAGGATTCATCTGGGGTCTTCTTTTATCCCACCTCCTTCTTGCCCTGAGGCTTGCAGCCCAAACAGTGACGGTTGCCGTTTAGTAGCTCAGTCACGTCCGACTCTGCCTCACCATCAACTATAGCCCACGAGGCTCCTCTGTCCATGAGATTCTCCAGGCAAGAATACTGGAGTGGAGTGCCATTTCCTTCTCCAGGGGATCTTCCCGACCCAGGGAAAGAACTCGGGTCTCCTGCAATGGCAGGCGGATTCTTTTACCACTGAGCCACCAGGGAAGCCCAGAATGGTATTGGAGGCCTCATTAAAATAAGGGGTGGGAGAATCTGTGCCAAACCAGCAGTCAAGGTCGAGGGGCAGCCCTGCCCAAGCCAAGAAGAGCTCAAGAGCCCCTTGACGAAAGTGAAAGAGGAGAGTGAAAAAGTTGGCTTAAAGCTCAACATTCAGAAAACTAAGATCACGGCATCTGCTCCCATCACTTCACGGCAAATAGATGGGGAAACAATGCAAACGGTGACAGACTTTATTTTTTTGGGCTCCAAAATCTGCAGATGGTGACTGCAGCCATGAAATTAACAGGAGCAAGCGACTGAACTGAACTGAACTCTCAAGATTCCAAGCTGGGAGGCTGGACTGGGGGAAAAGCGTAAGTGTTAGTTACTCAGTCGTGTCTGACTCTTTGCGACCCCATGGATTGAAACCCACCAGGCTCCTCTGTCCATGGGATTCTCCAGGCAAGAATACTGGAGTGGGTTGCCATTTCCTCCTCCAGGGGATCTTCCCTATCCAGGGATTTAACTCAGGTCTCCTGAATTGCAGGAAGATTTGTTATCATCTTAGCCACCAAGGAAGTCTTGGATTAGAGGAAAGTTGACCTAAAGAAGCAGGAAGTTAGTTCCAAGGGGAAATGGAGATAGACAGCTAAGATAAAACTACTCTGAAACCTAGAGGTCTAGGCAGAAGTTGTGGAATTTATATGACTATGTAATAGAGGCCCACAGAGGATTGTGAGAGGAGAGATAATGAAAGAGGTATTTGAAAAAGACTGGAGATAGGAACTAGAATGCAGGAGAATGTGCATCCTAGAGCAGGAGGAAGGTTAGAAATATGGTAGCTGGGATGGAAAGGGAATGAAAAACAGGAGGAAGTTCATAAGAAAAAAAAATCAATGGACTTGGGTTTCAACCTATTATAATGGGAAAGATAGGAGGGGAAAAAAACAACGTTGAGATTTTGAGTCCAGAGATGACTGGAACACAGGCTGATAAGACAAAAAGAGAAGCCCAGAGGGCAAGCAGGTTTGGGGACAAAGGCTGTAAGTTTGGTTCTTAATGCTTGAGGTGATAGCTGTAAAATATGTTTCTGGATGCAGGTTCGATCCCTGCTTTGGGGAGATCTCCTGGAGAAGGGAATGGCAACCCACTCAAGTCTTCTTGCTGGGAAATCCCACGGACAGAGGAGCCTGGCAGGCTACAAGAATTGGACATGACTTAGCAATTAAACAAAAACATATTTCTGGAGCTCTCTGGCAGTAAGTACAAAATTGTTGAGAATTAAATGAAAATTATACTAGAGTAATGCATATGCTGCAGAAGCACATAGGGAACAAAGTTTTGATTTAAAACTTGAATTATTTACCTGCTCTTAAAGGCTTTAGTAAAAAAAAAAAAAACTAATGCATAATTTCTCTTGGAAACCAGACGACATGGCAATCACACCAGCAGGCATTCTATCTGTCCTTTTAATAGAGACAGATGCTCTCACTCCCCACCAGGTCCTGGTCATTCATGTCTATGACTCACCTCACCTTAGAAGGCACTGATTTTGAACACTGATAAAACAACTCTAAGGTAACTAGTGTTGTTATTAGTTGCTCCATCGTATCCTACCCTTTTGTGACCCTAGGGACTATAGCCCTCCAGGTTCCTCCGTCCAAGGAATTTCCCAGGCAAGAATACTGGAGTGGGCTGCAATTTCCTTCTCCAGGGGATCTTTCAAACCCAGGGATTGAACCTGAGTCCAGAAATATGGCTATCACCTCAAATGTAAGAACAAAACTTACAGTCTTTGTGCCCAAATCTTATGGCCCTCTGGGCTTCCCTTTCTGTCATATCAGCCTCAGTCTTCCAATCATTTCTGGACTCAAAATCCCAATGTTGTTTTTTCTCTTCCTCCTGTCTTTCCCATTCTGATTAGTCAAAATTAGAGTCTGCTGATTTTTTTTTTCTTGTGAACTAGTTAGTATACAATTCTGCATATAAATGTACATATAAATAACACTCTCTAAGCTACCAAGATATCACTGGTCAAACATTTAAATGTCCCTTTTCTTAGTACTATGAAACTCTGTTTTTATAAGAGAAAAGAGAGAATTTCCTGGCAGTCTAATGGTTGGGGCTCTATGCTTCCACTGCAGGAGGCTTGAGCTGGATCCCTGGTCAGGGAGATAAGATCATGCATGCTGCATGGCATAGCCATAAAATAAATAAATAAGAAAAGAGAAAGTGAAAACTTCTCCTAGACAACATAGCTACATATAAAATGAGGATCAATGACAGGTGAATAAGCCTGTACATGATTACTGTATTCTAAGTTTTAAGTGACATGTCATGACAAAGGAAAATCCCAGGGGGTCACTTCTATTCAAGGCTGTAATTATGCTTCTTTTCAATCCTTCTACTCTAAAGCCCAAGAGGAAACTCCTTTCACCCAGGGACACTGGCAGAATAGGAGCAAGTTTAAGTTTTCAACACTGCCATCATTACTTTACATGGGAGATCTGTGCTTTCTTGGGAAAATTTTCCCTTTTCACAATGTAGCAGAATAAAACTAGGTCTTTGTTCTCCCAAAAAACCTGAAAAGGACTGCTAAGTCCTAATTCCTTAGAAAAGCAAACAACTGTCATCAGAAGTTGCAATTTCACTCTTAACTATGGAAGACTATTTATGGAGTTTTCTGGGGCAAGCACTAATATAATAAATGTATTTCATGGATATTGATGACATCAGGAATTTTCAACCGACCGTCTTTCCATAGTTTTGATTACTTCAAAGGACTAGGTAGAGTTAACAATACCATAGTATATAATTGTTAAGTTGCTAAGAGAGTAGATCTTAGATGTTTTCACCACAAAAAGGAAACAGTAATTATGTGAGGTTACAGCAGTTGTTAATGAATGCTATGGTGTTAAATAACTTTGAAATATATAAACATATAAAACCAACTCATTGTAGACTTAAACTTGCACAATGTCATATGTCAATTCTATCTCAATAAAGCTGAGGGAAAAAAAGAACTAGAAATATGTCAAAGAGGGACTAGGAAGTGCCTAGGGAGAGAAAATGCCTATGGTATCATATATTGAATAAAGCAGAGCATAAATAAAGCATATGGTATCATATATTGAATAAAGCAAATGAGAACAACAGATAAACACTATTCCCATGACCTCATTCTAACACTCTGTCACTTAACTCAGAACCCAGCTCTAATTAAGAATCACAAACAAGGAAGATGACAAGAGTTATTTAAAAGTCTACCAATTCATGTTCCATATATAATGTATTAACTTCAATATTGTGGTCATGATATTATACTACAGTTTTGCAAGA